TTGTTCATGTCCATGGGTCATATGTGTAAGTTCTTTGGCGACTTACTCCATTTCCTACACTGTACTTTACATTCCCGTGGCTATTCTGTAACTACCTATTTATACTTCTTAATCCCCTCACTTCTCACCCATTCTCTCACATCCATTCTCCCATCTCATTACCTTTAACCTTTGGCATTTTAATTATGAAGTATCTTGGAGTGGGCCTCTTTGGTCCATCTTGTTTTGGACTCTGCGCTTCCTGGACTTGCATGTCTATTTCCTTCACCAAATTAAAGAAGATTTATTTCATTATTTTTTCAAATAGATTTATAATTTCTTGCTCTTTCTCTTCTCCTTCTGGCACCCCTATGAAGCAAATGTTGGATTGCTTCCAATTTTCCCACAGGCTGCTTACATTACCCTTGTTTTTTACGGATTCTCCTTTTCTTCTTGTTCTGGATTGGTTGTTTTTGCTTCCTTATGTTCCAAATCACTGATATGATTCTCAGCTTCACCCACTCTACTGTTGTTTCCCTGTAAATTGTTCTCACTGGATTTTTTATTCTGCTGACGTCCTCAGTGAGTTCCTTTAACATCCTTATAACCAGTGATTTTAACTCCGAATTTGATAGATTGCTCATCTCCATTTTGTTTAGCTCTTTTTCTGGAGTTTTGATCTGTTCTTTCATTTGAGATGTGCTTCTTTGTCTCCTCCCTGAGTTTGCTTCTGTATATTAGGTAGAGCTGCTATGACTCCCTGTCTTGGCAGTGTGGCCTAATGTAGTAGGTGTCCTTTAGTGTCCAGTGGCACAGCCTCCCCTATCACCCACCCAAGCTGGGTACTTGAGGTGCACCCTTCGTGTGGGCTGAGTACACCCTCCTCTTGTAGTTGAGCCTTGGTTGCTGTTGGCAGATCAATGGGAGGGATTTCCCCAGGCTAGTCAGCTGCAAGGACTGGCTGTGGCCACTGACCACCACCCTCCACCCTCCATGGAGAATCAGCTGTGCAGGGGCAGGATGGTGGTGCTCCCATGTGATCTGTAGCTGTTCACTGGGTAGGCTGGCCCCTGGGGTTTCCCAGGAGGTACAGTCCAAGGTCAGACCTCAGTGTTTTGCCTGGAGCCACCCTGACTGAGCTATAAAGCAACTGAGAAGGCTGCTACTTGGGCTGGGCTTGGAGATTTCCAGGTTAAAGCCAAGCTGTGATTCTAGGCTGCTAGTCCCAGGCCTGGGGCTCACTGAGGGCAGCTGTGGCTTATTTGAGAGGATTTAGGAAGTTGTGAAACATAAACTAAAACCATTCATATAGAAAACCAGCTTAGGTGGGCCCATTAGTTGGGTGGGGCGGACTCTCTGGGGATCTCCAAGGCAAGTCAAACAGTGTTAGTCAGGTTGATGGAATCTTAGATTAGGCACCAGTCTACTGGCTCTATGGGGGAGGGCCCAGAAAAGGGACAACGGCCTCTGCTTGCTTTGATACCAGACACCTCAGCCTCCCCCTGCATGTCCCTGGTACCCTTTAAGCTGCCACCCTGTCACTAAAGCTCAAAGGAGTGAGTCTGAGTAGGTGAGTCCATGTGTGAGTTCAAGAGGGACTGCTTTGGGCTCCAGCAATTTCTTCCAGTGACTCAAACCCCACTGGTTTTTGCAGCCAGGAGTTGTGGGGACTTATCTTCCTGGCACTGGAACCCTGGGCTAGGGGACCTGGTGTCAGGCTGGAACTTCTCGCTACCGAGGACATGTCCCTCCTGAATTTTTATCCACCACACACAGATGTGGGACCAGCCCATTCTGTGTCTTCCCCCTCCTACCAGTCTAGTGTGGATGGATGTGGTTTCTTTAATTCCATAGCTGTCAGACTTCCATTCAACTTGATTTCTGTGGGTTCTGAGCAATGGTTGTTCTATATTTCAGTTGTAATTCTGATGTGGTTGTGCAAAGAGATGAGCCATGTCTGCCTAGGCTGCCACCTTGACTGGCAGCCTCCATATTGTTATTACTGTTTAGGAAGCCACCACTCACTGAGTTTCTGCTATAGTATAAACGAAGAATATCTATATTTCTTTCTTTTCCAACTATGTGTCTGTGGGACCTGGGTTTTTTTCCCATATATTAAACCAAACCAACACAAACATAACAGACTGATTATATAAAGCAGATATTAGAATCCGGCTGTTTTCTATTAAACCAGGCACTAAAGAGATTTGCAAAAATGTAACAATATTACTCTTCTCACAATTTGTTGCTTTAAAAAAGAATTACTTTTTATAAACATTCATGTTAACATATAATAGGTTTACTATTATTTTTAATGAATTATTATTTTAAAATTTTGTTTTAATTTTTCATCTTGGATTCTTGACCCCAGAAAGTTTAACAATTGCTATTCTATTAAAACTGACACTATTCTACAACTATACTTTAAGGTCAATAATAAATTATCATCCACAGTTTGCTATATTTGACTGGTATATATTTAGTGATCCCAGTTTGCTATATTTGACTGGTATATATTTAGTGACACTAACTTTGAATCTTCTCACTTCTTTCAATTGTAAGTACCCCAAACTGGCAAAGTCATGTTTGCTACTCTCAGGAGATCACTGAATAGATTACTGGTAACTACAGCCAGGATAACAGGGCGGCAAAGCAACACTGCAGGGCCCTGGTCTGAACCTGGACTTCGTCACCTGCCCAGTCTTCCAGGACTGGGACTACTCTCTTCCCTCACGAGCTCTTTCTTTTCTTTACAGAGAAATCACATTTTTATTAATGAACTGGTTGCCACACATCTTTAATACTTCAGTCCCTTACGTTTTTTGTATATACACTCTTGAATGATCTTTCATATGACAAGAATTTTGTATATGTTTGGACATAAAAAAATATGTTTTCTTTGCTCTCTGCTCTCAAATGTTCTTTATCAGACGCTAATATAGCTTTCACTTTCTACTGATTACTATTTGGATCATATACCTTCTTCATCCTTTTAACAGCTTTATTGAGATGTAATTCACATAGCATACAGATTACCTATTTAACATGTATGGTTCAATGATTATTTGTAGATTCACCGATCTGTGTACCTGTTATGACAGTCAATTTTACAACATTGTCACGATCTCAAAAAACCCCTGTCTTCTTTATCACCTTTCTGCCCTCCATCCCTGCTCAGCCCTCAGCAACTACTTTCTGTTGGGTTTCTCTAACAGATTTCCCTGTTCTGGGCATGTTCTGTGAATGGAATCGCCAGTCTTTTATGACTGGCTTCCACTTAGCATAATGTCTGAAAAGTTCATTCATGTTGTAGCATCTGTTAGTACCTAATTCCTCTTTATTGCCAAGTAATACTCTATTGTATGAACATGCCACATTCTGTTTACCCATTTGACAGGTGATAGGCATATGGGTTATTTCTACCTTTTGGCTACTGTAAGTAATAATGCCATGAACCATTCGCTTATCAGTTTACGTATGAACAAACGTTTTCATTCCTCCTGGGTATGCATCTAGAAGTGGAACTGCTGGGTCATATGGTAACTCGATATTCAATTACATGAGGAACTGCCACGCTGTTTTCCAGGCTGTGTGCACTGCACATTCCCAGCAGTGTATGCAGGGCCCCGTTTCTTCACCTAGACTCACTGACTTTTCCATTCCTCGTGGTATCTCATGTGGTTTCAGTGTGCATTTTTCTAATGACTACTGATGCCAAGCACCTTTTCCTGTGCTCCCTGACCACCCGTATAACTTCCGTGGAGAAATGTCTATGCAAATCCTCTGCCATTTTTGAATGGATTATTAGCCTTTTTATTGTTCAGCTCTAACAGTTCTTTATATATTCTGGACACTCCACCTTTATGTGCTATATAAATTGGTAATATTTTCTCCCACCCTAGGGCTGCATTTTCATTTTCTTGGTAGTGTTCTTGGAGCCCAGCAGTTTTGAACTTCGGTGAAGTGCAATTTATCTATTTTCTCCCTTTGCTGCACATGCTTTTGGTGTCATGTTTAAAAAACCACTGCCAAATCCAAGGTCATGAAGTTTTAAACCTATGTTTTCTTCTTCTATAGTTCTATCACTTATATTTAAGTCTTCAATCCAGTTTGAATTAATTTCTGCATATGGTATAACACGAAGGTCCCATGAGCTCTTTACAGCCTGTTAATTCTTTACACTGTTCTAGGTAAGTAACAATTTATCCCAATTAAGGACAAGGAAATGAAAATAAGAAGTGAAAAAAGGCCCCAAGTTTCTAAAATGAGTCATGAACCAAAAAGAAACTACTTTTAAATCCATGACTTTTAGGCTAATTCTTAACAACACTTCTCTCCTAAAGTGTTAGGGCTGGGTGTGGGGGAGGGCAAATACTGAGAGTTGACTCTTTAAGGAGAGTTATATATATACACAATATATATATTACATATATAAAATATACACATATTTTTAAGGTCCACTTACTTATGCTTTGGTATTCTATTATTTTCAAATACTTCTTAAGTAAATCCTTATTTTAAAGGCATTTATAAGACAAAACAAGACAAGGAGGCTCTTTAGCCTTAGGAAATTGGTATCCAATTCAGTGTGATAAAGCAAGACAAAAGTCCTTATAAATATTTTGAGTGGCTGCCTTTAAAAGAACATTAAAATCTTGTGTTGCTTCACATAAAATAAGAATTATCTCTACCCTTCCTGGGTTCCCTAAAAGGCATAAGTGCCAGTGAACACAGCTTTTATAGTAGTGAGTGCAGAAAAGCACATTCAAAATATAGCAACAATGGAACATGGTCTCCTTTTTTCACACAAAGGCCTCAACATCATCATCATCATCATCACACACACAAACATACCACACACTAAAATGGGGCCAAATATAATGCCATGAATAAGATCCTGCAACATGCATTTTGAAGAAGAGGCAAATGCCGTGCAAATCTGCACGCTAGAAATGAACATCCTGATCACCGTCAGCATGAGTCGGGTGGTTTTAGGAAATTTCAAATGATAGGGTACTCACAGGAGACAGCTTCTGAATAAGGTCGTGGGCAACATGAACAAGATTCTTGTCTTCGTGGAGACATTTCTGAAATTTTTTGCTCTCCTCATCTTCTAGAAGATCAAAATCAATGGCAGCATCCAGTAAGGCCTGAATTAAGCCCTTCCAGGACTTCAGGGCTGGAACCTGAGGGGCCACCGCGGCACTTATGCCTGTCCCAATCACCAGCACAAGCTCCTGAGGCTTCTTACTTTTTAAGCTTGGAAGCAGCTTCCTAAAAAAGTTAACAAAAGAGAGCATGGGAAACATCCAACAGATGTGGGGCACATGGAGAGACTGCCTAAAACCACAGCTTTCGGGTGTAACTCTCATAGTTGCAAAGGTAGCCAGTGCCGGTTTCTGACACCTCTCCAAACAGCCGATGCACAAAGACCAGAATGTGGTGCCGGCCGGGGCTTGCTGCAAAACAGTCATACACCTAATTTCAGGAATCTACAAAGCAATCTTAAATCAATGTTCTCCTTCACAGAAAAGAGGTTTAAGAAAAATCTAAGAAAACCCACTAATTTCAGGAAAAGTTCCAATTATTTACAGTCCAGTTGAGTTTTGAAAAGTTACATTTTAAACCAGTATTAAATTTCAAAGAACATGTTTGATGTAGATTCTGAGAGAACAGAACCACACACAAATCACACTGCAATTGTTACAAAACAGGAGATGAAAGGTGGAAGACAAACAATTCAAGTCTGAATTTTGTGGACGTTATTAAGGTAAAACTGAGCATGACTAAAATTGGGCAGGAAATAGTCAAACAAATGAACAAGTTTGCCTTCTGTTTGTTCTAGGTGTCCTGAGGCCAAAGACAAGGTAAAAGTGGCCAAAAGAATTCTAAAAACATGGGAGGAGCCTCCAGGACCCAAATAAACAAAGAACAAACCATTAGATGGATATGCCATAAAGTGAAAACCATCTTTCTCAGCAGGGTAAGCTCAGACGAAGCTCTGTCCTGAAGTTTCCAGGCAAGACAGGGTGGGCACAGGTTTTTGGGTTTTGTTCTCCAGCCCCCTTTGTTCTGTAGGCTATAATAGAGTCTGTTCGAAATGTATTGATTTACTTTCATTTTTTGCTGAGGCATTTTTTCCCCAAGAAATTGTCTTTCTCGACTTTTTGTCCAAGTAATAAAATAAGAACAGGATCAGCATTTTGGAACACCACTTTAAGCTGTGGGAAAACAATGCCCTCCCTATCCCTAACTCCTGCATTCAGTCGTTCGGTGAATATGAAAAGTCTGTAAGGTACCAGACACTGCGGTGGCACTAGTGATGCGTTTGTGAACAAAACGGAGCCCCCATCTCAAAAGTTCAGTCTGTTGGGAAAGACAATGCTAGATATTAGAAGCAAATAATGAAAAATGACTTTCAGTTCAAGGGAATCAAGACAGTGAAACACACACAAATACACACTCAGGAAATTTCTAGAAGGATTCACAAGAAACGAGAACTGTAAGTAGTGGTCACTCTGGGGACTGGGGAGAAAAAGGTTTACCTTTCATTTGACTGTGCTGTGCTGTTTGAATTTTTACCGCATACACTACAGATTTGAGGTGTAGGTTTTCCTAATTTAGGGCTTTCAGTTAAAAAGATTTAACAGTTGTGTTTTGTTTCTGGTTCTCACTAAAACCGCTGAATAATAGTAAATAATTTTTTTAGAAGACATCAATTCATAAAGAGTAGAACAGGCAATGCTGACCGCAGACCACAGAGATCAACAGTTCCAGAAGCTGTGAGGTTGGAGCGGATGCCCTCTGCAGAACCCCGGGACTGCCCAGATGTAGCTGCAGGTGGAGGGGCTGGCAGGGCCCACACAGGCAAACTGGTGGCAAGGCCGTACGCCAAGTGGGTAGAATTCTGACATTGGAGTCTGGCCTTCCAGAAAGGCTGAATCAGAGGATTCTTAGTGTGAGAACACTGTGTGGGTAAAGGTCTGTATATGAATAGAAGACTCTCCCCTGGCCCTCCTCCCAGAAGACACATTGGCAGTGGACCTTATACCTGTACCCCATCCCCCATTTGGTCTGAAGTGGGAGGATTCCTTTTTCTTTCCTTTCCTTTCCTTTCCTTTCCGGGAGAAATGGCCAGCCCGAGAAAAGAGGCCCCTGGCTGCTGCCAGGTGGGGCCTGCCCATACTTGATACCCGCAGTGCGGCCCATCCACGACCAAGTCCCTCAGGCACGCACACAATCTGGCTTTTTAAATATAAGCCGACATATAAGGGTCACCTTATATTTGGGCAAAGCCCCCAACATGACCATTTCACCAAAACAAAACTAGCAGATAAACTGGAACTTGGAGGAAACAGACAATAAAGGAAAAGAGAAGAAAAACTAAAAAGAAAACAATGACATCTTCACAGAGATTTAAAAAAACAAGCATCTATGAAACATGAATCAAATGCTATAAAAAAGGACGGGCAAACACCTGGTATCTAGATCATTTTATTCCCCACAACCTGAAAATTTCACAATGATGAATTGGGAAAGTTTGAGGTTACTGGGAGTAGAATAATCATTCTTACAGACTTCTAAAATACAAATGACTAGGAATCAGAATAGAGTGGCTATTTTGGCAGAAACATTTAGGTGTGAGCAGAGAATGAGCAGTAACTACATAACTCTAAAGAAAACAATTTCCTACCTAACATTCTATACTCTGCCAAATCATCAAATAAATGTAAGTGTACAGTAAAGACATTTTCAAAAGTCTCCAAATAACTTGTCTCCTATTGTCTCCTATGCATCTTTACTGAGGAAGCTAAACGCAGTACACACACAGACATGAGAGCCAGGAAGCAGGACCTGACACGGGAGTGATCAAAAAGGAATTCTTGGGGTGGAGCGGAGCCCAGAGCAGAGGAAGAACCCACGAGCGGGTGTGACTAGCACACTGCTGAGGGGTCAGTGAGTCTAGGAGATTGACTCTTTTGTCACAGAGTTTGAAGGTAAATTGACAGGAACACAGAAAACAAAGTGAACCAAAAAATAAATTTAAAAAAGGAGAGAGACAATTTTTAATAACTTGGAGACATAAATGGACGAGAATTGTACTCCTAACACATTACTAGGTCCATCTATTTATACAGCCATATAATGTAAATATTAAAAATTGATTTAACCAGAAAACGTGATATGAACCATACCAGGGGTATGGTGCGTGTGTGTGACCATGTGGGAGAAGATCTATGAAAGCAAGCCTAATTCTCATCTTCCGTAACCAGAAATAGATATTAATAAAACCAAAACACTGGAATGCAGCAGCACACACTGTATTTTAAAACACGGATGTAACTATCAGAAAAACGTATAAAATGCTGATAGTGACAGTCTCTGAGCGGGAATGAGTGGGGCATTACAAGCCTTGAAGTGCTGACTCTACAATTATGTACATTTACAATCTTGATAAAACATAAAAATTAGATCCAAAACAGAACTTTCATTTTACATAAAGGTCACTACTAAGTAGTGAAAACTACCGCAATGTAGAGCAAGTCTGTTCTTTTCCGTGCACCACCACTACTGGGAGCGTACTTCACTCCTCGATTCCCCTCCCCATTTACCTGGGCTTTTTGGCGGGGGGGTGCGCCATCACTGAAGAATCCAAAAATGTTGTCTGTATCAGAGGCCTGCCTCCCTGTAGAAGCCATCAAGTTTCTAAAATATATTAAACACCATGGACCACAATTAGATGTACCATTCAAAATAGCATACACATTAAACAGTTTTAATAAGCCGTATACCCTAAAGGGGCTCTAAAGGTAAACCTTGCTTAACAGAAATTCATTGATTCAACAGAATTAAATTCATCTGAAAGAAAGTAACCTTGAAGCGATGACTTGGTACTCCATACTACCATTCTGCTTCTGTTCCCGAAAGCTCCCCGCAGCTCTGAAAAACCCGACGACCAGTGTCAGCTCATGTCAATTACTGGCCATCATTTTTGTGGAGTGTAAGAAATACCTTTTATTTTCTCATGAAACAGGTTTGGGGAAGACTCGAAACAAAACCACAGACAGGTAAGTATGCTAATAGCTCCCAATTATCCCATTTCCTAACAGCTAAAAAAAAAAAATCATTGGGTCAAGAACACACCAATCAATTCTCATTTGCTGACTGTTAGACGCTGCTTGTTGCAGGACAACTGTGTCCTCACAGGTAGTGAGACATGTTCCTCTAGCTGAACACACTGTGATAAACTGCCCTGGCCAGTGTGTCTCAGTTGGTTGGAACCTCATCCCTTGGAGTGAAAGGCAGACGGATAGATTTCTGGTCAGGGCACACCCCCACGCCCAGGGGGTTGAGTTCAACCCCTGGTTGCACGTGTGAAAGGGTAGCCAACTGCTGTTCTCACATCCAAGTTTCTCTCTCTCTCTCCCCTTATCACCCCCCCGCCCCCATCTCAAAGCAGTGAAAAATGTCTTCAGGGAAGGATTAAAAAAAAAAAGTTAAACACAGTGTGCTAACTGGGAAGGTATTATCAAGCAAAAATATATGACAAATGGCCAATAATGTCTAGGTGATGAGATAACTAGCCAAAGCACAAGAGTTATCATGGATTACAATGAGAGCTATACAGAGAAGTTTTAATTGCTCAAAATTTAGTAAACCTGCTACATCTAAGGACCATTAATTCTGAAATGGTAGTATGTGTGTACATACAAACATAATAAGGAAGGCAGTATGTCCCACCAGAATTTTGGGTATTTTATTATCCTTCATTGCCAATATTCAGAAAGAACAAAATTACCAGTAATTATTTTAAACGTACTGTTTCATTAGAGTACTTTTTTATTAAGACATTTTTAAAAGTTTGCTGATTCATTTTTTTCTGATAAACAGAAGGCTCAGTTCCTCATCCCATATCCCATCACATAATGGCATCCTTCTCTGAGATCGTAAATCACGAGAAAAAAGGAATCACAAAGTCACAGACGTGAGTTAGGAAGCAGACCGTCCTTCTAGCCAAATCTTTGATTCTGTTGGTGAGAAAGGTGAGGTTCAGGTTACTCAACACAGCAAATCTTGCCTTAACTTATTAATCACCTGAGACGCTTGTTAAAAGTGCATGTTCTTAATAATGGTCTTTTAATTTTAAAGACTGTGTTTTCTCGGGCTCTAATCCCAAATTACTGAACCACAATCTCCAGAATCTTCAAGGGATTCCTATGATGAGACAGGTAGGACACATCTAAGAGAAATCAATTCCCTACCATCCAACTCTTGCTGCATGCAGGGCACACAACTAGGCACCTTGCTCTCGGGTCACCTCCCCGCTCTTCCAAGCGGGAGACACCATTTGCTGCAGCCCAGCTGCTTCCCAGTTTGCTAATGCCAACGGTCAGGAGTTCATCATCATTAAAATATTTCCGTGGAGCTTTATTTATGTGAGGTCACTTCCTACTCTGAAGTCTTTGCTTTAGACTGGAGAAGTAGTGATGGCAGAGTGGTTACTTCTACCACACACAGGACAACACATCAGTTTGGGGAGATTTTTTACAAGTATGCGATGAAAAATGTGCTGACACTTTCTCCTTAAGTGTTGTTCTGTAAACCAAGTGTCTGAGCAAATTGAATCCATGTACAAAATACCATGTACTGAAAAAGATGAAAACAAAGTACAGAGGGAAGGAACTGAATGTTTTGAAGACAGACATCTTCAGGACTAAATGGTCAATTTAGCTCCTACACTAGTTTTATTTACAAACTGTTACACAGTACTTACAACATACCATGCACTATTTACAAAATAACCTTATGAAGTACTATTATTAACCTATTTTTTTTTATCCTCACCAGAAAATGTTTGATTTTAGAGAGATAGAGGAATGGAGAGAGAGATTGACAGAAACATTGATTTGAGAGAGAAACATCAATAGGTTGCTTCCTATATACCCACTGACCAGGGACTGTACCCTCAACCCAGGCATGTGCCTTGACCGAGAACCAAACCCACAACCTTCCGGTGTATGGGATGATGCTCCTGCCAACTGAGCTATCTGGCCAGGGCTACCCTACTTTAGAGATGGGGCACGGAAAGGCTGGGTGTCAATTCAAACCAAGGTGGTCTGCTCCTAAGTCCATGCTTGTTTTTTTAAAGTCCAATTTTATCTGTCTATTTATCTATCTATCTATCTATCTATCTATCTATCTATCTATAGAGAGAGAAGGGAGAGAAAAAGAGGAGAGAAACACTGATGTGAGAAACATCAACTGGCTTCCTCTCACACGCCACTCTGCAACCCAGGCATGTGCCCTGACTGGAATCGCTTTGCCCGACAATGCCCAAGCAACGGAGCCATGCTGGTCAGGCCAAGTCCACGCTCTCAACCACACTATTGTCGCCTAAAAGCATTCTTCAAGTATTACTATCTCAGCTTTTTCTTTTTAAGTTGCAGTCCAAGACAATCAGAAAAGAAAGCTCCTACACGCTAGAAAGCAGACTTATTTGAAATAACTCTGTATAATGCTTGATGCCTGCTCCATGACCAGGCACGCTACTGACATTCTAACAGCAGTCACCTATGTTTCGTGCTGGAACAACAACTTTTTCTGGTGACAAACACTATTCGCTTCTGCCTCCCACCACCACTAATTTACTCAAACCCTAGATCAGCCCTTCCATTTTCTGCTGGAAAATATGCAAATTCCTTTTTGCTGGATTCTATTTCTGACAGATGGTCAATTATTGGTTTCTACACCTGAATACCAGGCTTTCCGATTTTTTATCTTTATGGAGTCAACTGTTCTGAAGGTCCACTCCACCTGCATAATTTAAAAACATTCGATCTGGTTAATGGCTCCTGACAAGTTATTAAAATGTTTGGGGTCCTCTTATTTAGAAACTGAATGAGAAATAATTCAAAATGCCCACATTGTAACTGACCACGTAGTCATTCTGTTTTCTAACAGGATTTCATCATGTCTTCGGCCTAATAAAGGATGTCTTATATGATACAATTTCACATGTATAGCCCAGTGGCATCTAAGCATAAACCACATTGTATTCTTTACAGAGTACTGCTTCAGGAAAAAAAAAAAACTTGGTTTAGCATTTTACCCTAAACAATATGCAATTACTTCTAAAGAGCTTCCAGGCTAATTGTAAATTCCTAACCTCATCAACTACTTCACAAACTAATTTCTTTATGTGATCACCATTTGAGTTTTCCTTTTAGTGGGACATGCAATGTATAGCAGAGGTAGGAAAAGCTTTTCTGCCACAAGAAAACAAGGACAATTATCTACGGCAATGTCTTCATTACTCCAATTACTGCTAAGCACTGAGAAATCCTTCAAGGCCAACAGAGTTCAGCAAAATAACAGTCAGATACTTAGTACATGCTGAGAAAGTAACAGCAACCTCAGTAACAAGTTTTTAAAGACCTAAGTCTTCAAGGAAAACAGGACACTTACATTGAAACCTGCCAGCTTGGCAGGAACTAGAATGTTTGTATCTGGCGGGTGGAAAGGGGGAAACCAAGGTAAGTGTTCTAGGAAAAACCCATTAAGAAACACGAAAAAAAGGACTGGCAAAATGAGTGAAACGCTGTTTGCACAAACTGGACTTGTGGACTGGGCATATCAAAGAAAGCCAGCAGAGCTCTTGCTTTTGTGCTACCTCGGTGCCAGCCAGGATGGTGAAACCCGATGGTGATGGCTCTTCCATCTCAGAGGCAGCACACAGCCTGAGCTCCCCCTGCAGATCTCACCCTCCCGTAACCCTCCCTCCACTGCCAGTGTGCAGTCTTCAGCTTAAACAAGTGACTGACTGGCCACAGGGGAGCTCAGAATAATTCACGTTGGTCTAGGGGTAGATGAAAGAAATCGACAGGAGAAAAAAGTTCTAATGATGTCATTTTCACCTGGAAGTAAAAGGCAACAATGACTAGCTTAAGGAGGTGGTGCATTTCTTGCTTTAAAAGGCCCTCGGACATGTCCATTAAAAAAAAAATAAATAAAAAACCCACCAGTGACAAGAATGAAGACTGGCGTATTTCTCTAACCTAAACATAGAAAGGGGTTAGCTTCATTTTCTTAGCGAAAAAGACAGCCATCCTCTGACTTTGAAGAAATCAAGTCCCCCTAATTGTGGCTTTTGGACTAATTCCAACACATCTGGTTTTCAGCAACTACGGGCATAGGGAGGAAAGAGAAACGCAGTGTAAGGTCCTGCAAAAGAGCACCCAACAAGCGCGCTGACAGGTAACAAATAAACTATTTTACTCGGATAATTGATAAGTTCAGTTCTACAGTGTAGATTGCAGCCTTTCCCAGCAGTGTATAAGACAAATTTTCAATTTCTTATTCCAGGCTCAAGGGCTCACTTGTTGCTTATACTTGTTATTTTTAATTATAAAACCAAAGTAAACACACCATGTGTAAGAAAACAAAGCTGCTTCAAGGAGGAATAGTGGAAGACCCAAATTAAAATCTGATTTGAATTAGAAGTTGGTGATAGAAGTTGATGATTCCACAGCACAAAGAACAAGAACTTCCCTGTCACCGCTTTCCCTCCTGCAGAGCTGCTGAGAAGGCAAGTCCTGCAAACAGTGACATAGGGTGCTAACAAAAATACCAGGAAAAAAAATAAATTTCCCATGCATCTAGTGGTATGATCACACAGTTTCATCACAAATGACATAGGCTATTCATTT